ACGAATGATAACAGATCCCTGCAAAGGAAATATACTCGTCAAAATGAAGATTCAAACAAACTCACAATAAGTACCGCAATCGTGAGCAATGTCAGCAATATCATTACACCTAATAGAATCCATAATCGTTTCTCGCGTAAGCCGGTCACATGTAGATTGTACTCCTGAATGGATGGTGTATCCTTGAAGTCCACTACTTCAGGTTTTTCGCTTCGCAGATACGTCGGTCCACCAGCTGGCATTGCTAGGCCAGATCGATCAGGTCGGGGAGTGTGTTGCACACAAGTATTTTAGTAAGAGAACAAGTTTGTCGGTATGTGCTAATGCAATGGATGAAGTCAATGGATGGATATAACGGTTGTGCTCGGTTCAATCAATTGATCACTGGCTATGCATACGTCTGATCCACAACAGCTGCATCTCATCTTCACTGTGCGGATATTATAAATACCTTTCAAAGCAACACATCCGCTCACTCTTATTCATTTCTGATTCCACTTCTTAACAATATCATTCAACTGCCTACAATGAAATGAGCATTTTAAAGATCTGCATTCTTCTTTGACACACCAAAACGTGTAAACGTAAATAATCGCCATATTTTCCCCAATGAGGAGTATTTGAACGAAATTCGCTCAAAACACGAGCAAATACAGCGATGAGCGCGTCAACTGCAAACTTCACGATTTTCCGATACCCAAAAAACACAAACTTTTGAACAATTTGTTTCCAATGCATTCTTTCTCATTTGTAATAAACAACACATTTCGACAACCAGCTGTTTCGTTGTTTTTTTTCCAGAGTATTTTTCAAAATTCATCTGCATTTATACTAGCTCTATAAACCGTCTAAAGTGAACATGACTAAGTGAACACATGACTAAGTCCTCATGCACATAAGCAGTGCCAAGATAATTATTTAAAAATTTATTTTATCGACGGAGGAATTTAAAAATGAAATTCGGATAAAGAATGAAAGGTGGTTACATCGTTTATACAATGAGAACAACAAACCAGCTGATGTGATATAATGACAACCGAACAAAACAAACGATTAAAAAGCACAACAACAATCACCACGACAACGGTAAAATAAATAGTAATGATGACAATAACAATAGTGACGATAATACTAATAATCATAAAAGCATTGATACAGATAATAAAAACAATGTGTCGATAAAAATAAACAATCAATCAATAACAGTTCAATCCAACGTTAAAAATCAGCACACAGTTCTCGTCATCTTCTCGAACTCCTTCTCTCGCGAGGCATCTGCAATACCGATCTCGTCCAATCACTCATTATGCTCAGATGATCCAACAGTATCAGAATAACGCTTGAATCAAGAACGAATTTAGGTTAAATGATACACATAATATAGCATTCGTCGAACAATCCATCAGGTAATTCTCGATGAGTGCAATTCACTATAAGCATTAATCTCTCTTTCTCCTTTATTGAACAAAAACAACACGACTACCAGAGTAATATTCATCGAAATTATCTCAATAAACTAACTCTGCTGTCTTTGATACACGAGAGACACACTCTTGGTCGATTCGTGTGGTCGAATGGACAGTCTCTCTTGATACATCTCGTGTCATATCTACAGAATCCATGAAAATAGTAACACTTCGGACCCGGACATCTCGGGAAATTCCTTCAAAATATAATATCAGCGGATGAAATCGTTGTTTTCTCAAATTTCTTCGAACTTTTGCCGAAATTGACATAAGACATTGGTACATAACACTCGAGTTCATGTGTATATGAAAAAGCAGACTGATCTTTATCAACTGCAATTAAGACTAACTTGCATCTGACCGGTGGACCATGTGGACAACGTCCACGACCACGCATTGTGAACGAGTCCATTCTCGGCTTCGTCTTCTCATTACTGTATATCTTCTCTTTCAAGCACTCCTATTCGCAAATTCATCAATATCAATCAATTGCAACCGAATATTTGCTTTATCAAATTGGAATTCTATCATAACTGCCAACAACTTTTAATGGTTATTGCTAAACGTCATAATACGGCAGTATATATCAGATCACTGAAAATAAGTGTGAATAAGTCAATTACTTATGATAAGTTAGTTGAATAAGTCAAATGTTAGTTGAATATGAGTGGGTCTTATAAAATTATAACGCAAAAAAGCACCAGTACCTTGTAGACGTGTGCACGATACTCCTCCCAGATAGAGTCCGTTGTGTCCGCAACTCGATCAGCGAATACATCTTTGCAGTACTCACAAATGAGTTTCGAATCGACATGTCTTCTCCTCAAATGATCGACTAATTTCTGCACGCTTGATGCCTCCTTTGAACAGAACGCACACGGTATTCTTGCGTTATGCGCTCGAATTTGATGCTCGCTCAATTCACGAACCGTCTCGAAGTCTGTACGGTCGCATTTGCGACACGGAAATTCGCCGAGTGCACGTGTCGGGCTGCAAGATTTTGTGATTCTGAATTACTTTGCCCCAGCGAAAACATTAATCTTCAAAAAATTAAACGTGATAAGCACAAATTTAATGGAATATAACAGACAAACATTCATTTTTGTCCCTATTGAAAAAATATATGATAACAAAAAAAATTTTTTTAAATCAACGCTCTGCTGTTTAATACTGAACTGGGAAATTGAGAAACATTTATGAATGAATAATCAGAGTAGTCATTCCTTGCATCTCTTCTTCACTCTCAATAAGGGATAATTTTTCCGGATGCGAAAAAATTTCTAGATGTTATTTTGAAAGTAGCAAAAACACTGATTAATGGCAAGGGACGCAACGAATCAAAGAATCGGAAAAGCCTAAGGTCAGAAAATATCACAGTAAATACCTTGTAATCCCCGAAATAATTTCCGTGCGCTTTTCAGAGGATATAACAAACTTTACATCAATGGTTGATTTTCCGGAGATGAACTAATAATTACAAAAAAGGTGCGTTCAGAAACCTATAGTAAAAATATGCGAAAGGAACACATGCAAAAAAACGATCCAAATGGCCATCCACACCAGGGGAACTTTCAACAATTGGCTATAGGGAACAATTAGAACGGTCGTTTGAATCGTATCGACGAACATTAAGACTGTGAATTTTTCGAATAAACTCTTTACCGATTGTGGAGTCCACAGCCGTAAAATGCCTATGATATGAAATTTTCACCTGTTTTCGCAAATGAAAATGAATGGATAGTAGCGAACGACAGAGTTGTTTGTATATTCTGATGGATATGGAGAGATAATACACATGGTAGATAGGTCAGTGCCCATATATACGTTCTCTCAATGAAATATACCACCGCGTTCTCTACTGCGATAAATTTGCATGCTCGTAATCTCATAACTTATTGTATCACGCCATCGTCATGATTGAATGATCAATTTTTCGATGCACATATATAATATATACATACACATATCATATCAATCAATCAACGAATGGATAATGAGCTGTTTTTATATTGCAACGCTTTAGAGGCGTATGATAACCCTCCTTCATTTCTGAAACATTATTTATCGAACAGAGTTCATATAAATCCGTAAGCAAAAACTACAATAAATTTTACCACTGATTACATTTCATCGATTTAAAAACGTTACTAGGCAAATGGATAAAAAACAATAATTTCATGGTCATTGTATACGTCCAAATGTATTGACGCTTTATATTTTGAACACCACTTCAAACTCCTAACATTTCTTGCCGTATTGCATAAAACAAACTCAGAAGTAATTTATAATTATTGAATGATTGATTTACGTTTCCTATCGGCGAAAATGTTTCAAAACAAACTTAAAGCTTTTGAGAGGTATAAGCTAAAACGGCAGTCTTAATAATCATCTGATTAACAAAACTGACCAATTGAAATACCTGTCTGAGTCTCACTAACACATAATCATTAACAAACTGACTAATACACAATATAATTCGATAACGAATTGGAGTTTATAAAAGTTCCAAATAAAATCGTTCATTTAACAACATTCAATCGAAAACTACAGTTTGGCCGTAACCCATTCATCACCTATCCTATTCGAACTAATGAAAAATTAGTAAGAAACAAAAGGAGAGAAGGCTTATGAAATGTAACCTTGCTGCCTTGAAAGAACCGTACGTATCGCGACTTGAAGATGATGAACTTCTACTTTTGACACGGCGTCGCGGTGGGGTGCGGCTGGAACGCGATGACTTACGTTTACGCCCTCCCGGCGGAGTTCGAGATTTGGAGCGTGACACACTGCGTGAGTGCGGCGTGCGAGAACGGGAACGTGACCCGGCCCCGCCTCCACGTGAAGCTTTAGTGCGACGGTCGGATCGTGATCTGGAACGTGAACGAGATCCATCCTCAGATGAATGGTCTTCACGTTCACGTATCTCATCTATTTCATCTTCTTTACTGAAACGAAATCTTTGTTTAATCATCTCGCTTTTGGAGCACTGATGCAAATAGCATTTCCACCTAATACTAAATATCAATGCTTAGGGAAACACATCGGTAAATGACAGAAATCAAACCTCAGCAAATGAATTATGGTGGGATTTCAATTTTAAACACCTGAAAAAGAAAATCCGTTACAGGTATGGATCCCCCCCNCCCCCCCAATAGGTATGGAGCGAGAACGAATGAAATGCAACTATAGTATGACGACGCACCTTCAAAAAATAATACTATTATGGGATGTCTTATTTACACTTCAACAACCATATTTCAAAGAACAACAAATAAAATGAATTACTTATAGTGATCCGCATCGCTCGAACGATTCACATTATTATTGCTTTCAACGAGCTCTTCGTTATCACTTGAATCATTGTTATTGCTGTACTTCATTTCTTTTCTCTTGCTGCTCCGACTTTGTTTCTCTTCCATTCACTGTATCACCTTTTTGATACCTATAAAATTTCAATCAAATACGAAAGTTATCTTACTTCCGTCTATACACTAAGAGGCGATGAAATTCTGGTTTTCTTCTATATTCATACGAATGGATCACGTCATATTCCTTTCATCTTCATCCATGATTGCTTCGATGTTCATTCATTATGATGGACCACACCACCATCTTATTGATTCAACGGACGCGATACACTTTTGATAACGATACAATTTGCATATATATCAATTCGGATCACATCAATAAAATTCGAAGAGCATAATCATGACGCATTCACTGTGCTGTCGCATATAAACTCTTCCATAGCCATGCCAGTGATCAGTCATATATGTATATCGTACAACTACAATGCAAACATTTTGTAAACATCGGTTCGAACACTCATTGTGTCGCATTAAAAAGCAAGCAATAGGAATAAAATACCTCAACTGAAATCAAATACATTGCATATCAATACATTTCCAAAAAAGTTTTCAGCTTCGTTGAATACTCACCATTCAACGATGAGGCTGTGCGAAATGGATACAAAAACGCAAAATATGTGCAAAAATCTCACATTCGACAAGATGAATTTCCAGCAAAAACACCACTCGAAGAAACAACCCGAAAGTGTCAGTGAAAAATGTTCGTACTAGCAGACAACGTAGAAGTTAGAACACAACAGTGACTTAACTTATCTCACATGTGCGAATGCCCATTCAATGAAATCAACACGACATAACATCACAAATGATCTATGAAATCTTTGAACGCAAATCACTTCTAAAACATACTGCTGAAATTTACAAGATATCATTGTTCATCGTTTATCTTCCAATGACCACGTCACTACCATAAAGCTGCTTTGAAACAGAACACAGCCAAACTTTCTGCGATTCACCGCATCAGTTTTGCATTTCCCGACAAAAGTAATGTTGTGAGTAAAGCATCTGCAGCAAAAACAGCGGGCATTTAGAAGAGCAGTATTGGCTGCTGTTTAGGTCTATGAAAAAGGAGGTGAGGTCCACCTCACACACAATACGCATCAGCCACCATGGAATACTCCATGTTTAAACAGGTGCCGAGAGCTGTTGTGGGATGGCTTGATCAATGTGTTGGCTGACGCGTGTTGTGTTTATGATAGAGCGCACCTATTCTTTCATAGACCTAACCTAGAGGATTCCCTAAAGGCAGAATATCTAAAGAGATATACCAGATCAGGAAAACGACATCAGAAATCACTAGCAAGACCATTATTTATTGCCTTCTGCATCATGCATCGAGCAAAAGTCAGAGCAATATCAGCATCCACGCATACCGCAGTCCCTGATGAGAGTTAATTACGAGTTAATCCCCGTTCCCAGAATCGAATCAAACAACAAACCTACCCGAAATTTAGCCTTCCGTCCCCGAGACAATTCACCAAGCAATAATACCTGCACTTGAGGTGCACAAGTCAATCGATAATTGCGTCTATGATAAATTTTGCTTTTCGTACACTGCCACATATCACGTTTGGCTGAGTTGCCAATATGATCGAAACGAGAAACACAGTGAAAAGCCTTCCTCAAAGTATGGAGCAGTTTTCCGAGAAGTGGAGCAATTTCTTGAAAGGTGGAAAAGTCTCCCGGGGCGTGGTAGAGGGGGGTCTTCCATGAGGTTGAGGGGTTCATTGGGAGATGGAGAGGTTCTCTCACAAAAGCAGTCTGATGAGTAGTCATAACCGATTGAGACGAACATCATTCGAACATTCGAAAGAGTATGGAAATTTATGCTGAACATTTTTTTTTCATTTTGTGCCCAATTGATTTGTGAGCTGAGATAAAAGGGCTTTGAGATGCATCAGCTAACACAGCGGTTTTTATCCTGCATCAATATGTGCGCTCCTTTGGCCGTATAACATACCGCAATTCTCTTCTCCAGCAATTCGAATGGCCATAATCTTCCTCCCTTCCGACAATTTTATGCATCTTACAGTATGAAACAGATAAAACAAAGTCAAGAAATAGATTCGGTAATCAAGAAGGTTTCTATAAAGAATTCTTCAGTTACATGAAAGCAACCACTTCATTCTCATCAAATGAGCATTTCGAAAATATTTTTAAGCACTGTCAAAAAAAAGCAACTAGTATTAATCTGCCGATCTCCACAGTTCCTCTTTACATATTGGAACTCCCATCCAGAGGAAACAGTTTCTGCCCATTGAGAACCACTCACATAGTACTTAGTCATGCTGAACAGCGAGAAACTTTGAAAAATTGCGTTAAGCTTTTGAAAAGAGTACCAGTTGTGAATCTTTTCGAATAATTTGCTATATTTGCTCAACTTTGATATTTTACCTTTTTAATCGTTGGCAAATAAATGCAGAAGAAAAAAATGATACTCATGCAATTGTTATGATTAATTTCATTTCATCATCTACTTCTCGCGTTTTCTCCAAACATGTAATGTGAGCCGTCATCTTCTTTGTCATCAAACCATTCAAAATATCAATTTTTCATTGGTCCTTTCCAAGCAATAAAGGCGAAATTATTTCCCACTGAGTGTTCCAAGCAGAACCGGTATCTTGAGATAGTGTTTCAAATTTCGTTCGTTTCATGAAACTTTCACAGCAGTTTGTTCTGCACAATTATTGTTTTTCTAGACGTTGCTAACTTTTAGACTGATTCAAATGCTTAATTCGTGATTTTAATTCCCAATCGAAATTTTAATTTCCAATCCTCGTCCTGAAGCGAAGAAAGTGTTAAGGATCCGTTAAGGATCCTGAAGCGAAGTGATAAGGACACTAACCAAAAAATGTTTGAGTATTCCTTAAAAAATATCCGAAAATAATTTAAAGTTGAAATAAACTAGATTTAGGATCACCTCAAGTGCTCATTTCGCTTGCAGAAATTATACATAGCCGAAATTGCACACTGAATTCTTCGTTCATTTTATTTATTTTTTTCAGATGGCTTCAGTGATCATTGTGTTGTTCGCTATATTTGGTCTCTCATGTGCATCCGTTTTGGAACAGTCTGTTGGCATAAAAGGGCAACTATTATGTGGTGATAAGCCGAGTGAAGGCGATGAAGTCAAACTGATCAATCATAAAATTATCGGTAATTTATGTGTTGAACAACGTTATCATCTTAGGAGCATTAATCTCATCAGTAGCACGTCTAATATTCGCAGTTGATCTCATCTTTCGCCATTTCTTAACGCAAAAGACAAGTATCAGTCATCAGTAAAGTTGAAGCCAACAAAATGGTGGATGTTAATATCATCTCAGTGATTGGCTCTAGCAAAATTGATTGACCAAAGTGACATAATCAAGTGGCCAGAGAAATAAGTGAAACTTCCAGCAATCTCTAATTGAAGGCTTCGATAGCAACTTGGCGTCAGGCACAACGGACAAGAATGGATTCTACGAATTGGCTGGTGATTTGAGTGAGTCAACTGACAGATTGCATTTCTTGATAATAAAGCGTTAATTTATCTTAGAAATGTATCGTGTAAATACTATTTTAGGGAATGAATCATTTCAAAAGTTCTGCAGTCAATGGGATGCATGAAACAAAACGGCTCTTTGACTGATAGTGAGATAAATCATAAAAATTGATCATAATCGGGCTTGAACTTGTCATCATGTCACTTTGTCGCTCTATGTTTTAGGCATTCTAAGACAAATTACGACACTGAATGCTAGACTCAAAATTTATACACGCTGCAACAATGGATTGAATGTAAGTTTGAACCTCAGAATGTTTTTCCTACATTTCAAATAATGCGATTTCATCATTGCTCTACCAATGGAGCAGTTTCCTTGTAGTGAGTCATCGCAATATTTTCATTTATTTGCATGATTCAAGTGGAAGTGAAAAAGCTGAAAAATTTATTGTGCACTCATTGGAAATGAAACTCACAACCGTCTCAAAAAACTTCAGAATTAAGTTCCGATGAATACATTTAACTTGAACAGCACTGGAAGTGTATCTGAATCTTCAGTTCTGAAATTCAGAAGTATGGATTCGATCTATGGAATTGTTTGATTCAAACACTTCCTCCAGAGTCGAGCTCGACTCATCACTACTCATTACTACTGTAGTGATCTGAATATTTTTTGTGCTATAGCGAAACATTCCTGGGAACAGTGATTCTGTCAAGAATAGTAATCTCTTTGAATATTGCCGAGTTCGTTCAATTTCAGATATGCAAACGTGAAATAACTCTGGGTATACCGAAATCGTATGTGACCCGCAATGACACTCCAGACAAGCTCTTCAACGGCGGAACCTTACAATTGGAATTTCACTTCGAAGGAGAGGGTCATAAATGTTTCTGAGATGACTAAAAATAACGACGTATTCTTCCATATCCAACGATTTTTGCACTTGTGAATTTTCTTCCCCTCATTGAAATATTGTGGTTTTGTGGATAAAATTGACACTCTCTTTTGCTTTGTTTTTCAATATTTACTGCTAAATCGTCTGAATTCGTCTAACGAGAAAGGTTGCATGGAATCGCTGAAAATTATGGTGCAAAAAATTCACAATTAATTGGTTGTAACAGCAATTAAAACCCATTCAATGCACTTAAAGAAATTGTGTCCTTTCTCGGCAGTAAGGTGATGATGAATTGCTGGAAAAACCTGAATGTGACAACTATCAACCTTCAGTACGAAATATTAGGCTGATTAGTGAATGACTGATTATACCATGATTGCCTGGGTTTTTTTGATGAGAAACGCCCGGCATTTCCTGTTCTAGGAAAAAGTGTGATGCATTTTTTGTTAATGATCATTCGATGAGATGAAAAGTCGTTCCAAAAACTGTTAAGATAGTCGACATACCATCTGAAAAATCACTTCCATTCACCGATTACACTTCATTGCAAGCACGATACCATACCATCTCCCTTTCGTGCACAGCAATAGCATCATTCGTTGATAGTTAATGCTCAGAGACGTTACTAAGTTCGGTGTTGCACAGATGATCCGCACTCCTTGCAACAATACGTTCTTCAGAATGTTCTCATCGCATTCATTCTAAGTATTGAAACAATTCAACAGTGATGCTTTGCAACGTTCATTTTTCGAACATTTTCTCAGTATTATTCAAAGAAACTTTCTCTCTCAGCACCTTTACCAATTTCTGTGTTTATTCATAATCGCGAGTGAATATACTAGAAACTAATTGCTTGTCATTATCAGTTGGCATATTCCCCTGCAAAAACAACCCTGTGCAATCTCATTTCGAGCATACGGAGCTGATTCATTGAGCGAATGTAAGACAGTGAAGCCATTTGAAAATTGTAATTCATATTATTACAATTAAGTAAGCATTTTACCAGAATGAATTCATCTTGGTTGGTAATTTTCGCACTTTTTGGTGGCGCTCTTGCTATTGATCAAACAATCGGTGTACAAGGCCAACTAATGTGTGGCTATAAGCCAAGCAAAGGCGACACCGTAAAACTGATCAATCACAAAGATCTTGGTTCGTTTCTCTTATAGATTTTTGTTTCTCTACTCTCCTGTTCTTTGGATCACATTCAGAAAGAAGAAACTGTTGGTGTGCATTTAATCCACCTCTTCAGGTCTGGACGATACAGAGTTGGCAAAAGTTGAGACGGATGATTCTGGATCGTATGAGCTCAAAGCTGATCCGAGTAACTAAAAAGATCTTTCAGTGTTGTTACGGCGACTACGCCTCTTGTTCTGATTGTTTGAAAAATTAATTGACTTGAAAATAATAGATGAAAATTGTTTGAAAATTGATTTTTGGCTTCCGTTANTGAGAACTCTACTTGCAGAGTGTTTTTCAGGCCTTCTTCAGAAAATTGACTCGCTGGATGCTCGCCTTAAGATTTACACTGATTGCAACAAAGCTGAGCTAGATGTAGGCGAACTTGAATTTCTCACTAATTCATATCATTAATTCACTTCGCCGATTTATCAAACATATTGCATGAGTAACCCAGATAACATAGATGTTCGCATATGCAACACTTGCGTCTCGGAATACGATGATAGAACTGCTGAGTGGAACGTATAGAAGATTCGGAACTTTGAATGTGAACACAACCCTACAACTGGTGGAGAAATAATTCAACACATTTCAGCCTTGCAAACGTGAAATTACGCTTGGTCTCCCGAGCGACTACGTGAAGAGAAGTGACAAACCAGATGCACTCTTCAAAGGCGGTAGTTTGCAGTTGCAGAGCACATTCTATGAAGGTGGCAGTAAATGCCTTTGAAGGAACATCAGTTTTTGAGTGGACACTCGAAATTTATCAAGTGATGTGTTGATAATTACCGATGAAATGTCGTCTTAATTAGCAGTTTCAATAAATTCTCAAGAACAGTTCGGCTGTACGCATTCATTCTATTATACATTGTGTTGTCGGATTCGTTGAAATTAGCAAAGTTTCCCCATTTGCCAAACACATAAAAGTTGAAAAAGTCATAGTTCGAAAGAATAATTCGTTTACCTCGTAATTTGAAGAAATGACGAGATAAATAAATCTGAAATTTGCATGCAATAGGAATATACCTCTGCACAAAAATAAGACACCAATTTCAGTTCGTTGAGTTTGCTTGAAATTGTTTATTTAAAAAATCATTTGTTTTGACTTTTGGAATCCTGTTTTCGTTTGAGCGGATCATTGTTTTTGAATTATGTGTTAAGTTCATTTTTGTAATGTATAAGCTTTGCAAGCAAATCGTTGGTGATTCACGAAATTAATTGTCGTTAAAATACTTGATGATAGGAACTTATTACATGTGATCAACGAAAATGTTCGTGACGAAAGAGCTGCTAGCTGAATGTAGTGTGATGCTGGTTTGAAGAAGCAAATATTCGATAGAAACAGTGGCGCATATATGCGGTTGAAACGAGCATCACGTCTTGATGTGTTTATTTCAAAACGATCATCTAGTCTGAAGTTTGCAGTTTGCAAAATTCTGACAAGAGTGCATATATTCACTAAATTTGATTGATAACAATGCACTTTTTCAAACCACCAGGAGTGGTTGATGGGGCGCGATGTGTTGAGTTGACAACTTCATCTAGTAGCTGGCTATCATCCTGTTGACTGTCTTGAACATTGAATACAACTTTATGAAATGTTCTGCTAATGTTGATCAATTCGAGAACAGCTTCAAAATAAAAAACAATTCTATGAAAGCGATTTGCAAGACGACTGTCCAAGTGACATTAACGTTTCTTTGTGTTGAGAACAGTTGATTGTTGACTTAGCCTTTATCAAAAAAAGCTGGAAAATTATTACTGATATTTGGATGTTTGCAATTCTCATCGTCAATCATTGGCGGATGTCCTTGGAATGAACTGATGAATGCCATAATTGAATGCACGTAGATGTAACTTGAAAAGGTGAGTCGAATTGTTTTACAGAAAAATGAATGAACATCGAACGGTAATGATTTATCGGTCCAGTAATTGCAAAAAATCGTTCCAGAACAACAAATATCATTGCTTATGAACTTTTGATGGCATTTTTTAACGGTTTAGTGTAACAAAACAAAACCTTGAAAAAATACAGTAATTTCTGAATTGCTATCACAAAATTGCAATGAAATCTGGTTTCTTTTATGAAATGCTTTTTCCTTCAATTTTCTTGGACTCACTTCATCTCAAAGCATGATCGTAAAAGGTGTCTTGTGTCTAAAGTTTCGTTTCACCGATTGCATCACCTCTTATTAAACGCATTTGTTACTGCAATGCCTCCTCAGATACCATTCGATGCTATTAGTGTTTACTCAGTAACTTATCGAAATATCTTACTGACATTTTTTACTCGGCAGTAAAACCTTCTATATCGATGCGAAATTGCTAAATACTCAGTAATAATATGAATATTTGTAAAATCAATTAAGTTGACTTTCAGAATGCAATTCGCTTGGCTTCTGTTCGCTATCATAGCACAAGTTTCCTGCGATGATTTCAAACAATCTTTGGGTGTGAGTGGCGAGTTATTCTGTGGTGACAGTCCAGCAAAAGGTGTTACTGTGAAACTCATAAACCACAAAATTATCGGTACGTTTACCACTCATTCAACTTTATCATTTCATATAGGACCTAGTGATAACACATGCGTAAATGACGCATAGATCTGAGAACGTGTCATTTCAAAATCATTCTTGAATGTTCGTAATCCTGGAGCATACTTTTTGCCGTCAATAATTCTTAGTTACTCATCAACCTTCCACGTCACTTCTTTTGAAATTTTAACGCCTAAAATAATGGTGTATCTGAAGTGTCTGGGTAGAGTTGTCATCGGAATGAGATAATTCTCCACTCAATTTCTTATCAACAAATTCTGAGAAGTGTCCATTGTAAGTATCAAACTTTATTCCAACTCGTTAATTTTTTTCGTTGAAATTTCCATGCGAAATACTAACTGTACGAAATTGCCTAAACGATTGTTTTGAAGGTGAAGATCAGGAGTTGGGAACAGCAACGACAAACGACGTTGGCACTTTCGAGATGGTTGGTGGAAGCAATGACTTCTTTTCGATTTCTCCGAGACTCAAGATCTATACTGATTGCGGTAAAGGCGACAATGTAATCAATTTCATTTATTCACTTTTATCGGTCAAATTTCAACATTGCAATGAAGTATAGATGTATGAAAATTATCATAAATTACATCTGTATTAAAGCCATTGAACCATCAATATACTTTGAATTACGAAATGAAAATCACCCATTACGAAGTTTGATTGAAGTGAACAACTCAAGTGTTTTGTCGCCCATATCTTAGAATTTAGAATCAAACAGTAACATTAATATCGATAGTGCCGTCATTCTTATTGATGGTGCTATTTATTCTAATTATCATAATCACATCGATTTTGAAATAATTATTCTCATTATTGCATTAGTCCACACAATACCAGTATCTTGATCATAACCAAGTTATCAGTGGTGAATTACGGCTGAGTAATGACTATTCCCGTGGTTGCATCAAAATGCATCGCGTTCATAACCAATCGCCGACGTAACAAATCCATCATCATCCCGTTTTGCAGCCATGCCAACGTGAGATCACTTTCGGTATTCCTCAGACGTACGTCGTCAAAGACAGCAAACCAAAGGAGTATTTCGCATCCGGAACCATTCAGTTGCAATTCAACTTTGATGGTGAAGGCCACAAATGCCTATGAAAAGCTGAATGTGCTGACTCGACCAGTGCACTGAATTTATTAGTAATTTCACTTGCATTTTCTATTCAGTTTTACGTTATTGCAGTTGTATTTCAGTGTTGCTATTTTCGTCACAATAAACGATTTCAATGAAGAGTGCTATGCATTTTGATTATTATGAGCACTTTTGTCTTTTGTTGTTTAGATTTTTAATTTTCTTCGACCATTCATCAGTTATTCTTGAAGTGTTGATCGGAAGTGAACAATAAACTCTATCTTTCAACCCATTGTTTTAGATACTCATTGACAAAGATAGAGTTATAATCTTTCACAGTTCTAATTATTCCTTTATGTGATCAGTGTTGAAAATTTGACGAAAACAGGACACCAAAAGGGTAAGAGAAAATTGAATTGAATAGACGTTTATGGTATTTCCTGAAGTTTGACGACAGCAGTCACTATCAGATGCCCTGCGTTCAGTCATTATTTTTTGCTCAATCTATTGAGTGATACCCTGACTCAAGCTCGATAGCATCAATAATATTGACGTGTAGTTTTGATGCCTCATTCTCATCGAATGATCTTTTATCAGCTTCACTGCACTGTCACCAAATGAGTACATCATTTGCATCTGAGCTGGTCAGTAATATTCTTTACACTCATTTGGTAACAGTCCAGTGAGGTTGAAAAATGATTATCAGTTTTCATCATCGAGAATGAGGCATCAAAACAACACATCAATATTGTCGATGCTATCGAGCTTGAATCAGGGTATCATTATATATAGCCCTTAAATCCATAAAACCCTTCAGCTTTATCTAACCCTTAAACTTAACGCATTCAAATCCATAAAACTATATCCTTCCGCTTTTATTGCCGGTTTCTAAGTTCCACCTCCTCGCCACATGAGGAGAAACGATTTCCCGTGAAATTTTAATCACCTCCATCACAACCAAAATTTTCTGATCTTACTCAATAGATAACAAAAGATGTTATCGTTTAACTCCGACACATATCCCGGGGAATGTACAACTTGGAAGCCAGGGGAGAGGAAAACAAATTTGAGGGCTGAGACTGAAGCGAAGGGAAAATTCGCTGCCGGTAAATCAGTGAGGCGGGGAACATCTAAATGCTGACATCAAACTAATGAAGAGTACAGGTTCGAGATTACTCGCTGTAGTAAATTTAAGCAGCAGTATGACACGTCGAGCATAAATTATTAAGCTATAACATTCATATCACGAAGCGAACACTTCGAGACCTTTTAGTTCGTAATGAAATGTTTGAATATTCGTGCGGACAGTGATTTTTACATACGTCACTATTGGTTGGCATACGTCAGTATTGGTTGGCGTATGAACGGTTTATAAATCTTGAATTGTGTATTATCGCACATTTTTCTGTTTATTAGTCAATTGTAGTGGTTAGGATTCTATTTTGTGGTGATTGATTCGGTCGGTGTTAAACATCAAGACAGATTCTTTTATAGTGATGTTCATATAGTTCATAATTCACTTGGTGGTGCACTTTGGGTATCAAAAGTGGTTTATCGCGACATAGATTAACACAGTTGTGCCACTAACACATGTTTGAAATATGAATTTTATGTGTCGTTCATTGTTTTACATTGTTTTTTGCTCATCGACAGTCTGTTGTATAAGTTTGAGTCTCTTCAATACAGCTGCGCCATATTTTCAATTGCTTGCTATGTTGATTCATCGTACTGCCTTACATTCCTTGCATTGCTGTCCGTAGTGTGTTCCTTGTGAATCCTCTATTTTTTTTGCTTCTATAGATTTCCAGATTCCTTGACAGCCTCAATCTTATTTTCGTCTTCATGCTTGATTATGTGATTGATTACATCAGTGTTACTTATTTGATTTATCAATGAACTCACGATAGATTGGTTCCAACTCGGTGAAGAGTCAATGTGAACTTATCGTCAGTAAAATATGTGAAATATTTTGTGTTATTGGAATGTTTCGCTGATACTGCCTCGTGCATGTTATTACTTTTCTGATGATAGCTAAGTTTTTTAGCATTCAGCTGCACCAGTCAATCGGTTGATTCCGATCGCATCGTCAACAATGCCCGCTAAACAACGGATGAGTCTTGCGAACAGTGCTTTCAGTAAGAATGTGTGCGCAAGGGGAAATGTTCAGAAATCTTTGGTTTGTTTTATGTATTCTTTACATTTTTTTTATCTGGAACTGTTCAAGAACGCTAAATTGTAATTGTGTATCCTAATCGAATGTTTAGCTAATCGTGAACGTATTGTTGGGCAACACCGACTGTATGTAATTAGACTGTTGTTTTGAAAGTTGGGAATAAACCCTGCATTCTTTTTTCCTATTTAATGAGCTGTAAAGGTGATACGAGCTGAAGCAAGTACTGTTCATCAACTTTCCTTGTGCGGTCTTTGCATTCTGACGGGAAATCTGAACCGTTCACTTCGTGTCAACATTTTGCCGATCTTTAAAAAAAATACAGAGTCTCAACATCTGTGCATTGGCCGTGGTACTTGTGAATTTGATGTGTTGTGAATTTGATGCTTGTACAGGAATTTCGGATAAGAATTTCAAGATTGCAATTCATGATAGTTAAAGTGCATTGTAATTCTTATTGTTAACGTTATTGACGATATGCGATGGTCTTGGACATTTACGTAAGCATTCTGTTATGAGATGTGATGCAGTTGCTCTCATCGTGGATTCCGAATGGGCAGTTTATAGTGAATTAATTTTGTTATCGGAGTTATGCTGTATGTATGCGGAACGATGGACGATAGCGAGTTGAAATGATCAGTGATAGTACGTTTCGGTGGGAGGCATGTTTTCGATCTATGATTAGATTAAATTCGTCAAGTGGAATGTGTGATAGTTTAACTTCAAAAAAGATTTCTTATGAATGAATATATGTGATTTCATGGACTTCTTCGTTTAGTAAGATTCATTTTGTAAAACTTTCAGAAACCTCAAGAAGAGAAATACGCTGCAGCTCCATGGCTTATCGGTCTCTTCGTATTCGTTGTTTGTGGGTCTGGTTAGTGTTGAACATTCACTTTCATCCCATATATCTTTGCTCAGTTTTCTACTGAAGTTTCATAACGCTTGAATCACGCCGTCCTTTGTATGAGAGCAAGTAGTTCAATTCGGATGGAAGGGATAAATTTCGTTGAGATCAACTGTCACCAGAAAATCTGCTTGCAATATTCTTGATTTTATTATGTTGTCAGTGAATGTTTCGGACTTATTTTTGTGCACTCGTTGGTCTTTGAAAGTTTAAATTTGCATTGCACCAACATTTCAGTTTTTCGCTGAGTTGGTTTTTCTCATTTTTTCAGCCGAATAAATCCTTCGTTTTTGCTTTGCCCTAATCACATCTCAGATTCCGTTCAAACAAATTTATCATTAAAATGACTTGTAGTAATGATTCGCAAATATTTCTTCAGCATTTCAAACATTTATTACAAAAATATTTTCCAAGTTAACATGCGATAGAATCATTGAAGCATTTTTTCAGCTGTATTTGAAATAATTCGTTATGTGAAAATGGGATGGTAAATGAAATGTGAGAGTACAGACGGGTTCGAATGAGTGCTAAAGTCAGAGTTTTATTCATCGTATCACTGAACGAATCACCTTAAAGGATCATTCATTCCGTCGAGTCATTTATATCCATTTATCCATTGTGATTTATATTGGTCGATTGTATGCCATCAATTATTTAACTCTGTTCTTTTATCATTTATTGTTTGAATTATCATTGTTGTTAATATTATCGTTGTTTTAATTTATTGCACCCTGTTTCAGTAACTTATTATTGTAATTTATCATTTGTTATTTAAACGTGATTCCTTTCCTTTATGGTCATGTCCGCTTTTCCTATGAAGTACTTGGATCTTCTGTACTTGGAATTATTATTCTCAAATTTTCTTTTCTGTACAAATGTGAGAATTCTGACTGCGTGAGAATTGAAAGTTTATCGCTGAGTTCAACAGTTGGTTACGTTCATAAAGTTCACCTCGTTGAACATAAAATAGTACTGTGGTGGAGTTGTGTTTCGAAATTCGATGGAAATAATAATCATATCATTAGTGTCAATGTTATTGTGCATTATGATAATAGGACGATGATAGTTGAGTATTTCAAAATGGTAAATATCCAACGGATTGTTGCACGTTCCTTACTTGGGCCAACCGTCATTGCTTGATGTCGAGTGTGTTTTATTCACTTCGACAGATTGTTCTTTTTTACGTATAATTCAGTGTGTTCATTTTCTTAAACATATTTTTGTATTAATGTTATCCACTGATATTTACTGTTGCCTTATATAACTTTTTTGAGACTCATTCGATTTTTGTATCATTTTTCGGAGAAACTCGTGTTCTTTGAGTCTCGTATACGCTCAATAGTTCTTCATATTATTTCATTACAAACTCAAGTTTTGTTGAAATGTTCCTTTGCGCAATACGAGAGCAACAATGTAAACGATTCTGATGTGAGACTCAAAGTGATTAGTGAATATATTGCTGAATAATTTTATCAAAATCATTCAATAAAATAAACTTTTCATTCGAAAATGGTGTTGAATGGGATAAGTTCCGTTGGTATTCATCTCATTTGGTTCGGTGTATTATTATATGGAAAAATTTTATTCATTGTTTGTAAAACCGTTTTTACTCGCTTACAAAGGTACTCAGCTGGGCGGTGTAGTTGTATACATTGATGGAGTCTTTCTTCGTGCGTTTCACCTGAATGCCTAACATTCAGGACTGCAAGAAAAATAACGAAGTCGTGTGTTGCAGAGCACTTGCTGACGTGAACTCTTAAATTCGTAAATTGGAACCTGTGTACGTGATGTCAGCTGGGGTTGTTTTGTTCGAGATGTTCGGAAAATGTCGAAATAAGTCATTCATTTATTCAAAAGACATCATGTCGATACAAGGAAATTTGAAATGAAACTTGCATATGTTCACAGTAAGTATGCTTAAAATAATTCAAAATCGCAGTTTAACAAAAATTTCACCGGATTCTTGAATTTCGACGTTGTTTAATTCAAGACTTCTTTTCATCGCTAATGGCCAGCTTCTTCATTACTTCATCAATGCTGTCAACAGACATCGCCGCAGAAGCCTCCTTTACATCCGCATATAAAATCGTAGAACTGAAAAATTGAGATTAGCAAACATTTGTTTCGGACGCAGAAAGATATTCGAAGTATGAAATACTTTATTCAGGGGATTTTTACTGCATTGAATCTTTCGGTGCTTACTCACACGTTTTGCCGAAATTCATTGTGATTGCTGTTTGAGTAACGCTGTTTCTCGTAAAACAGGCAAATCATTAGCGTGATGATTCAGAAGTGAATTTTCGGATTCAGGGTCAGCTCATTACAACGTTGACGGATAATTTAGAAGAACAATCAGTTCTTACAGATATCTTTCTCCAAAGCTTGGCAAAATAGTTACGATCAGTTTGCCAGCATTTTCAGGTCGTTTTGCGAGTTGAATCGCTGCCATCACATTGCAGCCCGATGAAATACCTGCAATAGTTGCGTTGTTGAGTTCAAATTCAACAACGCCAACCAGACGAAGTAACTAATTATCGTGAGGCAACGTGTGCTGAAGTAATCAGCTAAACGAATACGAAACACTGGATACCTGCCAATATTCCCTCTTCAGCAGGTAAACGTTTTGCCATCGTAATCGCATCTTCGGATTTCACTCGCAGGATCTCATCACATATTTTTACATTCAGAGTTTTTGGTACGAAACCAGCTCCGATACCTATAATTTCTTTTAGATTGTTGAACTGTTTCGGCTGCATCTCAGTGATAATAAATTTTGTTAAAGTAGCACTCACTGAAAAGTAGTTGAACATGGCTTATTTTTAAAGTGATGGCTATTTATTGCAGTGGACATTCCGAACGAACATTTCATCCAGTTCAAGGAAGCATTCGTTGAAAAGTTCAGTCAGGTTCTGTGAAGATGAAAAGGAAAACACTTCTCTGATGTTGTCACCTTGAATCAGATGGGGTCCTGGTTTCTCGCCACTCAAAACCGCAGCCTCATCTGGCTCACAAGCCACTACCTTCAAAAGAAATAATCGTGTTCAGAGAATCATTTTAAAGAATGAACAGTTCAGAGAGTTGAGCACTGTGATGAACTGCGAAACAAGCAAATTTATATAATGATGTACTATCGGTATAATAATAAAGCACTGATTCGAACAAGCGTTGAGCGTTCATGAGAATATGATTGTATCGAATTGTTTGCCGTGCAAAACTTTTTAAACTTTGTTTTTAGGTATTTTCTGACGGAACAACGCAACGGAAGGTGAAATCTCGACTTGCAATTTGATAAAATGATAAAAAATTTGCCCTTATTTTTGGATTCTTCTCTTTGAGATATTTTCCAACACCGCTGACTGTGCCACCGGTACCCACTGAAATCGCCACTATGTCCACTTTGCCATCGGTCTGTTTCCATATTTCGGGTCCGGTTGTTTTATAGTGAATCAGAGGATTGCTTTCATTTTCAAACTGAACTTCGCAAACAATCAATCCGAGATTACAGTCAAAGTGGACCAATTTGAATGAGTCACATCTTGTATCAATCCTTCATATGATTACTTCTTCGAGTGCGATGCAACGCAGTTCATTTGAACGTTTGCTATTGACTTATCGAGTTGTAAAATGGTGATAAGTAAACAGTAACAAGCAAACAAACCTGCTGTAAAAGTACAAATAAAACCTGTAAGTACAAATAAAACCTGCTGTAAAATGAAAGAATTCGGAATGCGTTTAGCTAGCTGATGTGCCATTTCGATAGCAGCAGTCATGCCCTTTGCAGGATCGGTTAGCACGACCTCAGCGCCGTATGCTTTCAGAAGGATTCTTCGTTCGATGCTCATTGATGCTGGCATTGTCAATATCAAACGATATCCTCTTGATGCTGCCACAAATGCTAAAGCTATTCCCGTGTTACCTGCAATCGATCATTTCGTTGCTTGTTCGAACCTCTACCCAATGAAGCGTTGATACCCTAGTCGGAGTCATTTCAATTGTACACTCCTAAAGTATTAAGCTATTTTCATTTCATAAAAACTTTTACAGTTTGGATATCATTCCGGTCATCATCGCAAGATGACTCGAGTCCTGACATGTTCCATTCCAGAGCTTCGTTATAAGAAAGCTTTATGAGAATTTGTTCATTCAAATGCAACATGCAAACGCTGAATATGCACTGTTATGAAGTACATCATCTGATTCTCAGTATGATTCAAAAGAGCGTGATTTTACCTGAAGTGGGCTCGATTAAAGTCGTTAAGTGAGGTTTGATTTTATTTGCTTTTTCAGCATCATCAATCATTGAATAACCAATACGATCTTTCACTGAGCACGCTGGATTCATGTATTCCAACTTAACCGCTGAAGTACCAGAACTCATTCATATGCAGTGGATATGCGTTCATTTCAAATTCACTCGCACTTAACAGAGGGCGATTGGCATATCAATGCAGACACAGTTTATGTATGATTACAGAACATGACTGCACCCAATTTCAAAAGACGATTAGAACGTTTGAACTCAACACTCATCAAGAAATTTGTGTTATAGCAAAACGACTGACCGACTCGAGCCAGACATCCTTTGGTGACATTATTCAAGTAAACCATCGGCGTATTTCCGATTAAATCGGTTGCATCAGCAGCAATATATTCTCGAGATGCCATCTTCAGAAGTTCACTTAGAGAATTTGACAAATCAAAATTGGTTCAAACCAATCAACGAATCGATTTCTGAATGAGAAACAAATATGAAATGAAAACTGAAATGATTGAAGAACGAATTCGATTGAAACAATTATCACTAAAGATTCATCTCGAGCGACAATGCTTTCGCTTACGAATCATTTGGAACAGACTCTAAATAACTGATAGATTCATGCAGTTATTCATTTTTGTAATTTCGATCCGCTAACTTTATGGTTTTTGAGGATACAAATGACTTCAGATAACGATGGCGATCAAAAATCTTGACAAATCAGGACAACGATCAGAAGTTTTTGTTGAAACCGTAGCATTCGAGAACGCTAGTGGTTTGTTCTGGATACTTTATGCAGTATGCTTTTGTACAGTTCGTATGTGTGACGCTTATGCGAATATGCAGCCTTGATAAAAATGAAGCATAATTCATTGAACGACAGTTGTGCAATTGGAGAGATGCGTCAGTAACGTTATAATGATATGGAATCGAACAATCGATAAATTTGATCGCACAATTAGGTCGACACGCATAAAGTCAAAAAATCGAAAAGGCAAACACACAGCCTCGACTAGAATGCCTAAAAGTTTCTGTGACTTCTAGAGCGTTCACTTTTTGCAAAGTTTGCTCTCTTTCTGACAATGAACGCTATTTCTGTTCATTTCTTATTGTAAACAGAACTGAATACATTCACGTTAGTTACGTAAGCAAAGAAACTTCGAAATGCGGAATGATTAAAGCAAATTTGAGAGAAATTTCGGAAAATAATAGAGGTGAGAAATGCATAAATTTGAAATATGAAGTAGATGATAAAACGTAGGAATTGGGATGCGAACATTCGAAGGAATATTAAGTGGAATTGGTTGACGATGCCTACGTGACTCACAATGCTTGAAGACTGAAAAGTGGGTAATGGTGTTATTCAACTGAAGCGCCGTCATAAGTACCAAATCAAACACGGCGCAATTCCGAGTTTTTTTAAAATCAAAAAAGCCTCATTTGAGGGACCAGAACCGGTAAATGATGCAATTTGATTGGCAACATTTATTTCAATAGCTAAAAGAACAAAGTCCACGAGTCGAAACTAAATAAAAGATCGAGTATCGTTTGGTTATGGAAGGATCGTCGAAAAAATTTTGAAAAACTTTTTGAATAATTATAATTGCCATTCATTGTAACTATTGCATTCTCATTGTATAGTCGTAGACGATAGTTTGTGTTTTTTTTTTCACCACAAATATATGAACTCTTTCAAAAGGCAGAAAAGATCTGAAATGTTCGATGGTACAACATGGAAGGGGATTATCAGTTCAATGCTCGTCGAATGCAAAGAGAAATTGCTGGGAACGACGCCATCAGCACGATTCATGCTCATGCAAAAGCCGTATGCAGACGATAGTTTGTTTGCATGAAAATTGCAAATTTTTTTTGTGAACATTGAACACTTATAATGGTAGATGGTGCTGACAAGATAACATGCGACTTTAGATAAGAATGAGCATTGGTTTTAAGAGGACGTTTTGGAATTCAAATGACACAATCGAACTTCACTGCCGGCTACGGATGGATTCCGCGGAAGATTTTCAAAACTACCTCATGAACACTTGAAGTATGGGTCGATGCTGAATGCAAAAGACAGTTGGTGATGGAAAAAATTGGTTTTTCGATCATAGATTGAGTGCATGTTGAGTAGAATGAAAAATGAATTGCAGGGAAGTGCAAGAACGAGTATTCTGGATGAAATTCAAATGCATTCCAGGACTGAAAGAGCGTGGAATTGAATAGGTGATGAAGTTCATTGTAATCCATTATTATAATGACTGTAGCAACTGTGAATTGATGCGACAAGGATCTCTCAATCCAATGAATGTCGGTATTTCTTGGAGATGACATGATTTTTGAAGAAGCATTCGTGGAACGACAAAAAANAAAAAATGTCATCGAAATGATGCGAATAAACACTTGAATCACTGCAGCAGATATACGCGAAACATCAGCCTGCCACGAAATTATCATCTGACTTTTGGTGCATATGATCACACTAACGCGGTAGTTGAACAGCATCGTATTCATACGCTTAAATAATTGCGTCTTATAAAAATAGTGGATTGACGTCACTGATGTGAGCGTATTCGATCAGTTAAATCCTAATCAATACTTGAGTCAGCCGATGGCAAATGTTATGATGTATTCGTTGTTGTTATATGTTCAGTGATTTACTTTGCAAAGCGCTCAAAGTATACAACATTTAAGATCTTCAGTGAAGTGTGTATGCGAATGAATAATCAACGCATTGAATAGTTCTTGATAATCGCATAAAAAGTTATGCAACAATAGTGTGCATTTACCACCGTATGTTTCTGTTCTGATTTATTTGGTATGGCAACATGTGTCTTGCATGATATGCTAGTGTCAATAAACGAGGAACAATCGTAAAATACGAAAAAGATTTACTATCCCAGATCAAATGATGAGTGAGAGCACAAAACGCTCAGCGATGAAAATGAATGAAAATTTTGCACGAAGAACAAAATATTTTATGATTCCATTAAGTTAGTTGGATGTGCATTATATAGCCTCTTTTTTTTTGTGAAACAATCACTCAGATATGTTTAAACGAAACTCAATTGTTTTGGTTTCGATAATTACGTTCAGTGTATTGATTATTACTTTCTTCAAACGGCACCGTTCAGCGAAACTTGTAATGCAATGGAGTGCATTGAGTGTAGACCGATGAAAAATTTATTGCAAAAAAAAACCCATACAAATAATGATTGCAACTAGAGTCGGACACTGAAAATGCGAAAGAAGCTGATGGTTCGGTAGACTGCGGAATGGAAATTTGACGGCCAACAGCCACTCACTTCGTCGACGACAACTGAGAGGGTGTTCAATTGCTGGCCACCGAAAAACATTTCGATCTCGCACTCCAGCGCAGCACTTATTAGAGCGTTTCAGTGAGGGAAGGATAAATTTGAAACGGCAACAACACATATTACAATTACTTTCGGCATAAGGCAATAAGTTTTTTGAATGTATGAGAGGATTCTAAAGGAAAAGTCATTCAACTGGTTCAAAAAGCAATTCAGTAAACTGCAATCAGATCCCGGATTCTTTGCCACAAATGCATCGATTACGCACCAATCTGAACATTAAAATATTGCGTTTATTTCTCGTCACCATCGTCTTCAATACAATGATTTTGAGAATTTCTACCAGCCAAATTGTTCACAGCTACGATCCTAACAATAAAAACCAAAAATGAAGTTACTAGGAAGGAGCTCGCGAGGACACCAAAAAACATTTTAAATATTATCCTAAAAACAATATCCTTAAAACTCAAATAAACCTAAACTTAAATATCCTTTTCCTTATGACTCGGTCATTATTATATCCTGTGCTTCATACGAGTTCTGTTGCCCGTAGATGTCCTAAGATGAACAGTGGCTCATCGGGGAAGTAATTTGGAAATGTGATTAGTTCCCCACTCTAGAAGTGCCTTGGTGAGATTAGATCGCATTGAATAACCTACATCTCTGAAAGCGTCCAAGTTTCTACCTCCCCCCTGTGAACAACAAAGCCAAATTAGTCAAAATTGATCGAAATATGCCAAAAGGACTATTTTAATATCCTTTGGCAATGTGGGAACATGATGATGCTACGCAATTTCTTCATTGCAAAGCTGTCAAGGTTGGTGGAATATCCAAAGAAAAGTGACATAACTTTTTGCTTATTCAGGATCATCTTAATGAGACAAATTGGCATTTAATTACTCACATCTCGGAAAGCTTCTTCATCCTTTCCATTGTTCACTTCCCGTTTCTTGACTCTGAGCAAGTAGTTGTTTAGGTTGTCCTGTGAACAACAAAGCCAAATTAGTCAACCTCGTGCGGAATTGGCCAAATGGAGCATAATATTCTATGATTCCTTCACGGACTACTTTATTGGTGCTCTCTCTACTTCACTCTGTTGACTTCATTCTGCTTTATAGTCTAACTCTTTCAAAGCGACACTGTTCTACTATTCTGTCGCTCCCGACTATTCGGCAAGTTTTCTCTTCTGTTCAACAGTTCAAGCGGTCTCGCTCTGTCCTCACAAATGCAGCACACATTCGGAAGCTTTCTCTTCTATTGTGTTGCCATAACTGCTAAAGTTGGAGGAACCATAAAATTTAGTTAGAATGGTGCTATCAATTTCCATTTATTGAAGAGCACCTTAATGAGACCATATCACATTGAATTACTTACATCTCTGAACGCGTCTCCATTGCTGGCATCTCGTTTGTTCAGTCGGAACAGATGTCCATTGCTGGCATCTCGTTTGTTCAGTCGGAAGAGGGAATCGGTGGGACTGACCTGTAAACAGGAACTACAAAGTAGAAAAAGTAGTGCAAAACTGGCCGAAAGAAGTGCTTCAAAGAAGTATATCATATTCCAGCTGTTTTAAAGCAGCTTCAGTTGCTTACATCTCTGAACGCTTCGGCATCCCGTTTGGTGAGTCTGATGCGGGGGTCGATACGGCCGTTCTGTAAACAACAAATCAAATTTTAAGAAAACTTGTGCGAAACTAACGGAAATGAGTGCTTAGATATCGGTAGACAATGCGGAGCCGAGAGAATCTTACACAACTCCTTGATCGCTTTTCCGGACTTGATCTAAGATGTTTTTATGGAATCGTTCTTTGGTGCTGT